GACGTCAGCTCCGCGGCCTCTGGCCACAGCGAGCACGAGCTTCGCCGACAGCTGCAGCAAACGGCCCGTGCTCTCGTCGTCCTGGCGGACTTCCTGTTGTCGCGGCCCTTCGGCTGCATGTCCGCCCCCTCTTCGAGCCCGCCAGCGCCGGCGCGCCCTCGAATGCGCTCATACTTCTGAAGTGTGCGAGGCAAGTGCGCGAGAAGATGCTGGCGGAACAAGTCCCCCTCTCGCTCGAAAAGGCTGCAGATCGGACACTGCACGGCGAAAGACGCCGGACCGAACTGGTTTCGAGTCGTATCTCTCATGCAAAATCCTCTGGTCATTGATCTCGACAAGTGCCTCCACGCTGTATCTCTGCATGTGAATGTGTGTCTGCAGTGGATGCACTGGTTACTCGTGGTCAAGATCGCCGCGAGGTCGTGCATGTGGTGGTGCTTGATGATATGACTCCTGAACGCCTTACGACTCGTGAACCCTGTCCCGCAAGCCTGTCCGTCTTGCAGTATCTCGCACCTTCATCCACCTACCCCCTTCTAGTGCCTCCTATTCCATCTGTTCATATGTCCTCTCGTTGTTCCTCCCCGCCGGTGGGATACTGCAGCTAAGACTGGTTTAGCGGAGTTCTTGGACATCGAGTCGGTGAACTTGTTTGCTGGATCTCGATGGGGAATAGTAACTCTGAGCTGATCACCTGGTCCTGGAAAACCTCCTGGAAGCTCTCCGCGCACTCGACCGCGCCCCTGCAGTCCTGCGCGGATCGCCTGGCCCAGGGATTGCCGGCATCCGGTAGGCCCTCCAAGCCCCCTTCGTGGGTCTCGAAATTCAGGGCCCCGAACATCTCGACGAGCAGTTGTTTGTTATGCTGTGGCTTGCTATGGATGGACTTCGCCCAGCTAGGTCTCCTGATTTTTGCCTCGCGCTCGGGGTGGGGGACCTTCCCATGCTTGACCACCTGCGCCGCACTCAGACCCGCGCGTCGCCCTGTAACTGACACCGTCGCGGCTCTCCCCCTCATCGCACGTCTCAGTGGGCATCCCATGGCCCGACGCATATTCTCGCGCCCCGCGCCCGTGGGAAGGTAGCATTCGATGCAGCTCCATCCTGCGTTCAAGACTCGGCAGATCAGCATCGCCCCCCCCCCCCCCCCCCCCCCCCCCCCCCCCCCCCCCACCCCCCGCAAACACACACACACACACACCACACACACACACACACACACACACACACACACACACACACCACACACACACACACACACAACGCAAACACACACACACACACACACACACACACACACACACGTGCACGGCATGCCCGCTCGGTACCAGAAGGCCCCCACTTCCCGATAGGACTTGCGCATGGCCGATAGTCGCTTCCCAAGTTCTACTGAGTAGCTTGATTTCGAATCCAAGAACGGCCCCAGGCATTTCGCAGCTGGCAACACTTTTCCTGGGATCCCGAGCTTTTTCATATCACGATGTGCCTGTGCGGCCCCAGCCCCCCCGAAGCACGCGATGCTTTCCTGTGTTCCTCCATCTTGCTGGAGCCCGATCTGGCGCCACCTAGCGTCTAGCAGAGCGTCTGCTAGATGCGGCTCCTGGGCAAGCATCTGCTCGTCGGGCTCGCATGGCCCGAGCAGCAGCTCTCTCGGGTCGCGGGCGTACTCAGTGACTCCGACTTCGATAAGTTCCTGGACAAGTGCAAACTGTCTCCACTGCAAGTGGTCGCACGCGAGCTGCCGCCGGCAACCGGAGATCCAGCCTCGAACTCCTGGGGGTAACGCCGCCACGAAGTTCTGCGCCATGTACGGGTGGCCTATCAAGCCTCCGCACCTCGGGTGTATCATGATGCCCTCGACCTCGTCTCTGCACGGGACCTGGAAGCTTGCTCTCCTATATCTTTGTTCACCAAGGTTCCACCTCTGTGGCGGTAATATGTTAGAAGTTGCTGCATCCGTTCTCATCCAGGATCAGCTGGCGAATGCGTTGCCCAAGTCTTTCATCGAAGTCAGAGAAACACCTTCCGCTCTGCCTGGCACGGCATTCCACGATCGCCGCCGTGAGAACGGCTCCTTTCTTTTCGTCGTCCTAGCACGAATCCGCAATCCTGATCCGTGAACTCTCTCCCGGTTGCTCTTGCCAATCCAGCTGCGTACAAAGCCTTGCCCAGCGGGTCAAGGATTTGGTCGGTACGTTTCCCCGATGGTCCTGGTTAGTTGTCATTCTTGGCTGCTGTCGCCGCGCTGCAATGCCATTGCATTGGTGCTCTGTCCTGTACTCGTACCTGCGTGAGTCCTCCTGAAGTCCTTTGGGTCCTCGACGTTCGCGTCGCATCCCAGCCCGCGTGGTTGTTTTGTGTTCTCGGTGTCTGTCAGCATCATTCTCCATATTTAACTCGGCACTGATGTAGCCGGGACTGCTCTTCTCGACTTTGTTTATTATATACTTTAACTTTGTGCCAAGTACTTCAGCTCATGCTCGTTATCGTCCCGCAAGCCCCCCACGTCCTCGATCTCGCTGAAGCACTCTAAGTTGGCGATCTCAGCGGGGGCTACTCTTTCACCTAGCCACACACCATCGCCCCCCGGGCATCCTCCAAAAACTCCGCCCACTCCTGCCGCTGGCTGCGGCGTCGCAACTGCCCAGTAATCTCTTTTTCGGGGTCCGTGACTGCCTCCCGAGAAAAGTCTCGTTAGTCTTCCCACTGACGCCGGGCCCCTGTGTTCCCACGCTCTCTATGAATCCTCCACTCTGTGTTCCGTGATAGCTCTGCCCTCCGCGCATTGCACATTGCCTGGTCAGTCTCCTCAGCTCCTGTTCGGTTCGTAGTGCGCGTTCCCCGCCCTGACCCTCGCGCCGTTCCCGATCATCAGCTGCGCGCCCGGGCTCTCCAGCTCCATCCGCGGCGACGATTGCGCCAGGGAAGCCATCCCCTGGGCTTTGCGACCTAACGACAAAGCGAGACAACTGAGCCAGGGAGGCGATCCCCCAGTCTTGCGATCTGACGCCATCTGCCGCAGGGTTCGCGACGACCGAGCCAAGGGGGCCACCTCCAGGACTCTGCGTCCTAACGCCCAAACGTGACGACGTAGCCAGGTAGGCCATCCCCTGGCGTTGCGCCCTGACGCCTTGTGTCTCGCGCAGCCTTTCTCGTAGGTCTGGACGCTGCCCCAGTACTTGCATCCTTTCTTCTCGTAGTTGTCCGCATGCTTGGTTTCTGACTCTGCTATCCGCGAAATGTCGCTGTGCGACCTCCAGAGCAATCTAACTGGGCCTTTTTGTAAGATTCGCCCACGTCAGTCTCGCTCGCATCCACTGCCTCCGCCTCGACCACCTGGTTGAGTTCATGTATAGATTCTCGTGTGCCAACGTTGTGTGCGACAGCTCTGGCCAGCGCTTCCTTGCCCCGCCGAATCTGCTTCGCTCGAGACGGAGAGGCTAGACTGGTGCGGAAATCAGATGCTGCATGGACTGGAACATGATCTCTACGCGCTCTGCTCGGTATGACCTGTAGCCTGCTTCCCATTCTCATGAACGGACCATGCGACATCTTGCTAGAACTCAGTTCCCACGGCGCCAGCATGAAGTCTATGCACTATACGCCTCGCTCACCGAAGAGTGCAGGCCTCCATGTTCCTAGCGCGCTAGTGACGGTTATGCTTATTCGCTCAGCTACGCGCCTATTCTTTCTGTTGAAAAGCCTGATCCCGTCGCCGCGTTTCCATGGATTTCCCCTCTTCTGTCAGCTCCTATCCCGTCGCTCACGTCCCCCAAGACAAACGCTAGAGTACTCGGTTCCTTCTTATGTTTTTACCCAAGTCGATATCTGTTTGACAATGTAGTGATACTCCCTGCGCGCTGCGCTTGTCTTAGGTTGAGGGGGGTAGCAGACCGCGATCACTAAGCCGAAGTCGCGGAGCATCTTGCGGGTCACCGAGAGTCCCCTTCCCAGTAGGTCTCCTGGAGGTTCCTGAACGTCTAGTAATAGGGATCCCCGCAGATATCCTCTCCAGGCCAGCAATACTCCTGCCGACTTGTTCGAATAGCGTGCGTCTACCCATCCTGCACCCATGCACTGCGCGTCCTCTGCGTGCCGCATCGTAGCCTCCGCCCCCTGCCTGTCCCCCTGGGCCCCAGGTAGGGCTATAGCGTAGAAGTTGTCGTGTTCCCGCACGATCTCCGATACTCTGTCCTGGCGGCAGGACAGCGGGTTGAATTGCACGAGAGCTAAACTGGTGGTCCATCGCGTCGCTAAGTAGACCAGCACCCTCATCGCTGGAACATGACCCCTCGATCCTGTGGAGTTGGTTCATCTCCTTAGAGAGCTGCCTGAATTTCCCAATGGGCGAGATGGCAGCTGAGGAGGAGGAGGAGGAGGAGGAGGAGGAGGCGAGGCGAGGCGAGGGCGCCAGAGTCGGGCACACAGGTGTGCCCGTGCCCTTTTGGGCAGGGCACAAGAGGCCGTGGCCTCAGATCGTGTCCGAACAGACGTCGTGGACGAAGTTCCTCAAGAACCAATACACAGACCAGGCAAGGAACGAGATGCTTGCGAGCCGGGAGAAGTAGAAGGCGTGACCGATGATGTAGGAAGTTCATGAGCCTGGTCAGGATCGAGTCGGCGCGGTCGGTGTCGTGGCTGCTCCTGTTGATGGTCGTCGGTAGTCGGTGCTGTATGCCGGTGTCGCTGCTGCGTTGCTGTTAGTGTTGTCGTCAGTGTCGTTGTCGGCATCGCTGTGCTCATGTGCGAATGTCCATGTTAATCGGTTAATTGGAATCGTCAGGGGTAGAAGTCTCACTTAGGAATTCCAATGGTTCCGTGTCTGTGTCGGGCAGAGCGGGGGAGGAGGAGGAGGAGGAGGAGGAGGAGGAGGAGGAGGCGGGTGGGAGGAGGAGGACGGAGGAGGAGGAGAGGAGGAGGAGGAGGGAGGAGGAGGAGGAGGAGGAGGGAGGAGGAGGAGGAGGAGGAGGAGGAAGGAGGAGGAAGGAGAAGGAGGAGGAGGAGAAGGAGGAGGAGAAGGAGGAAAAGGAGGAGGAGGGGATGGAGGAGGAAGAGGCGAAGGAGGTCGAACGCTCTTCCTGCCAGGAAGGCCCCGAGGCCACGGGCAGCGCCCCCGGCCGGCGCGCGGGCCCCGAGCCCGGCGGCCGTGGAGGCTCAGCTGCTGGCGCTGCTGCCGCTGCGGGGGCCGCGGTCGCTCGGACAGCTCGGGGGGGTGGCACACAACGACCATGGCCCTCCTCCTCCTCCTCCTCCTCCTCCTCCTCTTCCTCCTCCTCCTCCTCCCCCTCCTCCTCCTCCTCCTCCTCCTCCTCCTCCTCCTCCTCCTCCTCCTCCTGGGACTTGGCGGCGTCCAGAAGTCGAGTAGGCGATCGACTGCACTGGCTGACCTCGGGCTTCTCCAGAACCCGGGCCCACAACGACCAGGCTGGGGCCAGCGCGAGCCCAAAGGAGGCGAGCACATCAGAAAGGACGGGCCTCCTGAGGCCTGGGGACGAGGAGCCGAGGTGGGCGATTTGCCGCGCGGTCGCCAGATCCATGGATTTGGCGCGCGGTCGCCAAATCCATTAATCGGGAGAGGTGCCCTCCCCCAAATGCGGCCGGTGCCGCCTCGTTCGACGGCGGAAATCCGCGATGTCCCATGGAAGCGCTGATTTCCGTCCTGGGCAGCCCACGCGAAGGCCCGCGTGCACCATTTACTGCGCACCACTTCGGGGACCTGCGCAGCCGACAAGGCCAGGCTGTCCACGGGGGGAACGAGAGGGGGGGCAGGCAAGCCCGATAACTACTCCAAATCCATTATTAATCGTCCCCTGGGTCCGGTTATTGAAGGCGCCGTTTTTTGCAACTGGGGGGGTCTGGTTTATTAGGGCGCTTTCTTTGGATTGACGCTCAAGGGGTCCAGTTTATTAAGGCGCCCCGTCGAAAAGGGGGGTCCGGAATATCAGGTCGCATTTGGAGGGGGGTCCGGTTTTTTAGGGGGCGGGCGATGAATGAGGGATTTGGAGTAGAGGCCTCCTTGATGGGGTCTGAATAGATGAGGTCGGAGGCTCGCGCCGCGTCGCCAACGCATCGTCGATGCATCGGCGATGCATCGGCGTTGCACCGGCGACGTCGGTGCGCTGGCGCCGTCGGCGCGGCGAAAATCGGGCTCCCCATCGAGCCACATGGCTGATGCATCGGCGATGCGGCGCGATCCTCCGACCCCATCTACTGCGACCCTATCTGGGAGGCCTAGAACGACCTGGGCTCTCGACGAACCCTAGCAAGTGTCTCAGAACGCTGTCGGTCCCCCAGAACATATTCTTGGCGGTGCGCACAAGGGGTAGGGGGAAGGCTTCTTAGAAGAGGCTGCTTCTTCGAAGGCGCCAGCACTACCTCTATAGACAAGGCCCGCGCCTCCGAAGCAGCAGGGGTGCTTCTGAGAAACCGTCCCCCCTCCCCCCTACCGCACAGCTGCCATCTCTTGGAAACCTGCGCGTGGCCGAAACAGCTGCCATCTCCTGGAGGGCAAATTCTTACTTCCGCCGGCTGCCGCTGTCCTTCCAGCTGCGGAGCCGCCCTTGTTCTCTACTTCCGCCGGCTTCCGCCGCCCTTCCGCCGCCTCCCGCCACCGTTGATCTCCCCTGCGGCTTCCCGCATAAAGACTTCGAGCCCATGATAAAAGAAAAAACGCAGAAAAGATAAACTTTTGGCGCTCTGGCCAGATTGCTGGGATCTCCGCTGGACCCCCTCCCCTGGCGCGCAGAGCGCGCCAGGGACGGCGCCGGAGGCGCCGCTGGGGGGGGGCCCAGCGCGGATCCCAGGAATCCGGGCGGAGCGCCACGAATGATTTCGTAGGACTCTCCTGCTTTTCTCATGCCATGCACATCGGGCTGCTCGTCCCGAGTCCGTGTTCGACGGCCCCGAGGCCCCGCGAGGGCCCCCAGGGGCCGAGAACCCAGACCCCCGACGGCACGAGTTTCTCCGCGCCGTGGACCCTCCGACGTCTCGACCCAGTCCCTCCCGTCGGACGCCTTCTCCTCCTCCTCCTCCTCCTCCTCCTCCTCCTCCTCCTCCTCCTCGTCCTTCCTCCTCCTCCTCCTCCTCCTCGTCCACCTCCTCCTCCTCCTCCTCCTCCTCCTCCTCCTCCTCCTCCTCCTCCTCCTCCTCCTCCTCCTGACGGCCCCGCGAGGCCCGGGGAGGGCCCCCCGGAGGCCGAACATAGCGAAAGGCCTCCCGTCGTGATTCCTGTCAGGGCTCGAGAGGGTCGGGGAATACCAACGAGCTCCTTCCCCAGAGATCCGACGTCGTGAATCTTTGAATGCGCGGTCCCCGGAAGTCTCGACCCGTTCCCCAGGGCCGCTTTTGCATCCCGAGTCGTTTTTGTTGACGGTCCCGAGGCCCGGCGAGGGCCCCTAGGGGCCGAAATTTCAGAAAAACCTCCATCTTGATCTTTTCAAGACGTTGGATCTCTGGGTTGTCGCGACTGCTGCATGGCCCGAGGGGGTCTGGGAGCGGGCCCGAAGGCGGGCGAAGAGGGGCCCCCAGGGGCCCTCGGATGTTCGATGCCCGCCCCGCGCGGGGGGGGCAGACCCAGACCCCTCACGTCGTGAATTTTTCGCGCAACCTCGACCCCCAGAGGTCTGGACCCCTTCCCGGGGACCGGCTTTTCGTCCTGAGTCGTGTTTTGACGGTCCCGAGGCCCGGTACCGGCTCCAGGAGGCCGACAATCTAGACATGATCGACCCACGAACCCGGAAAGGAATACAGACATGTAAGGCATGGCAACGTTTCAAAGACACCTGATTGGGCGACGGGCAAACGCAATGCTGAGTGTATCGATCTTGATGTACCGTGCCGAGGGCTGTGCTGTGTAGCGCCGTGCTGAATTGCGATGTGCCATGCCGCGATTGTGCTCTATAGCGTTGTGGATCGAGTCCTGCTTTGCATCCGAGTCCTGACCGAACTGATCTGGATCTTAAGCTCGAGCTGTCTCAGCACATAGTAGCTGCCCCAGAGCTAATTGACAGAGGAACATGCCAGGAGGACACGCCGCGGAACGTCCCAAGGGACGCGCCAGGCGACGTGCCAGGGGACGTGCCACGAAGACGCACCGTGTGACGTGCCGACGGGACGCGCTACGGAACGTGTTAATGGACGTGCCACGGGACGTGCCAGGGAACGCGCCGCGCGACGTGCTAGGGGGACTCGCCATGGGACACGCCACGGAACGTGCCAGGTTGCAATGCTGAGTGTATCGATCTTGATGTACCGTGCCGAGGGCTGTCCTGAGCTGCGCTGTGCTGAACTGCGATGTGCCATGCCGCGATTGTGCTCCATAGCTTTGTGGATCGAGTCCGGCTTTGCATCCGAGTCCTGACCGAACTGATCTGGATCTTAGGCTCGAGCTGTCTCAGCACATAGTAGCTGCCCCAGAGCTTATTGACAGGGGAACATGCCAGGAGGACACGCCGCGGAACGTCCCAAGGGACGCGCCAGGCGACGTGCCAGGGGACGTGCCACGAAGACGCACCGCGGGACGTGCCGAGGGGACGCGCTAAGGAACGTTAAAATGCGTGGTCCTTGCTCGGGGCAACCATGTTAGATATCCCCCTGGATGGCATGGACACCTAAAAGCATATGGTGCCAGCTCGGGAAACCATGCTATATACACCCCTGAATAGCCTGGACTCGTTACAACACGTGGTCCTTGCTCAGACCAATCATGTTAGATACCCTCTGGGTGGCCTGGATACGAAAAAACACGTGGTTCGAGCTCGGGACAAGAGTGTTAGATATCCCCCTGGGTGGCCTGGGCACGAAAAAACAGATGGTTCCAGCTCGGGACCACCATGTTAGATACCCCCCTGGGTGGCCTGCACACGTAAAAACACGTGGTCCAGCCCACCCAGGGGGGATATCTAACATGCGGTCGTCTGGAGCGCAGGAGTGCCCAGGAACGCCCAGAGGCGCCTGGAGGCCAAAAAGTAAACGAATCGATGCCAAATACAAATAAACTCTCGACGTTCCGTTCCGAGTCCCATGAAGGATCCAGGAGGCCCATGTTAGATACCTCCTGGGTGGCCTCGACAGGTGAAACACATGGTTCCAGCTCGGGACCACCATGTTAGATACCCCCCTGGGTGGCGTGTTCACGTGAAACACCCGGTTCCAGCGCGGGACCACCACGTTAGATACTCACCTGGGTGGCCTGCACACGTGAAAACACATGGTTCCAGCGCGGGACCACCATGTTAGATACCCCCTGGGTGGCCTGGGCACGTGAAAACACGTGGCTCCAGCTCGGGAACACCATGTTAGATACCTCCTGGGTGGCTTGGACACGTAAAAGCACGCGGCTCCATCTCGGGACCGCCATGTTAGATACCTTCCTGGGTGGCGTGGACACGTGAAAACACGCGGTTCCAGCGCGGGGCCACCATGTTAGATACACCCTTTGGGCGACCTGCACACGTGAAAACACGTGGTTCCAGCGCGGGACCACCATGTTAGATACCCCCTGGGTGGCCTCGACAGGTGAACCACGTGGTTCCAGCTCGGGACCAACATGTTAGATACCCACCTGGGTGGCCTGTACACGTGAAAACACGTGGCTCCAGCGCGGGACCACCATGTTAGATACCCACCTGTGCGGCCAGGACACGGGAAAACGTGGAACCAGCTCGGGACAACCATGTTAGATACCCACCTGGGTACCTTGGACACGTGAAACGATGTGGTTCCAGCTCATAAGAACATGTTAGATACCCCCGTGTGTGGCAAAGGAAATCCTGGAAAACAAACGAATTAGTCGAGACATCCTCAAAATTCATGCGCGCGGGACGCGGCACGCGCGAGACATCCTCGGAATTCCTGCGAACGGGACGTGAAAACAAGCATTTCGCCTGAGATATCCTTTGCATTCTGGCCCCCCACGAGGCCCCCGTTCGAGACATCCCCCAACTCTGCAAAACCAGCGTTTCGCTCGAGACATCCTAAACAAATTCTGAAAAAAACAAGCGTTTCGCCTGAGACGTCCTCAAAAATAATTCCGCCGGCCTCCTTCAAACTCGTCATCTCTCGCAAAATAGCTCCGCCGGCCTCCCTCAGGTCGAAACCAGGGGCAACAATACTACAAGAGAACCCTGGACCCGCGCCCTTTTTAGGGGGCCACATCCGAACCCTACCCCTACCCCCCACGATTTCTGCGGGGCAGGGTGGGGCTCACTTCGCTCGAGGGCTCCCGAGCGAAGTGAACCCCACCCTCCCCCTCAGAGATCGTGGGGGGGGTAGGGGCAGGGTTCGCATGTGGCCCCCTACTTTCCGGGAGCAAAAAAACCTCCCGTCGCGAGACTTGCCCCAGCGCGAGGGGGTCTTGCCATCGCTCGGACGTCCATTCCCCGTGCATCCTCGATGGTCTCCGCCGAGAAAAAAAACGCACACGTCCGAGCGATGCCGAGGGGGCCTGGGGACCCGAGCGACCGCGGCGTCTGCTGGAGCCGCCGGCCCGGCCGGCGCCCGCGGGCGCCCGCGGCGCGGCGGGCCGGGCGGAGGAGGCGCTGCTGCTGGACGAGCCCTCGCTGGACGACGCCTCGGGGGGAGCCAGCCCAGAGACCCAGACCCCCTCGAGCAACGGAACAAAAATCAGTGCGGAACCAGAGGCCCCAACCCAGACCCCCTCGAGTAATGAAAAAATCACGACGGGAGGTTTTTCTTAATTTTCTGCCTCCGGGGGCACTCGCCGGGCCTCGGGGGCGTCAAAAGACGACTGAGGATGCAAAGCCGGTCATGGGGAAAGGGTCGGGACCTTTGGGGATCGACGTAATAAAACATGATGGCCCCACGAACCCGGAAAGGGATATAGACATGTGCAGCATGGTCACGTTTTCACGATACCCAACTGGGCGACACCTCACGAAACATCCCACGAGACACTCCGCGAAACATCCCACGAGACACCTCACGAAACATTCCACGAGACACCTCACGAAACATTCCACGAGACACCCCGTGAAACACTCCACGAGACACCCCACGAACAGGCAACCACTCAACCAGACACCCCACGAAACATTCCACGGGGGTGCGACTGGGTGTGGTCGTGCTGGGGTGTGGTCGTGCTGGGGTGTGGTCGTGCTGGGGAGTGGTCGTGCTGGGGTGTGGTCGTGCTGGGGGGTGGTCGTGCTGGGGGTGGTCGTGCTGGTGGTCGTGCTGGGGGGTGGTCGTGCTGGGGCGTGGTCGTGCTGGGGCGTGGTCGTGCTGGGGCGTGGTCGTGCTGGGGTGGGGTCGTGCTGTGGTGAGGTCGTGCTGGGGTGTGGTCGTGCTGGGGTGTGGTCTTGCTGGGGTGGGGTCGTGCTGGGGTGTGGTCGTGCTGGGGTGTGGTCGTGCTGGGGTGTGGTCGTGCTAAGGAGTGGTCGTGCTGGGGTGTGGTCGGGCTGCGGTGTGGTCGTGCTGGGGCGTGGTCGTGCTGAGGTGTGGTCGTGCTAGGGTGGGGTCGTGCTGGAGTGGGGTCGTGCTGGGGTGTGGTCGTGCTGGGGTGTGGTCGTGCTGGGATGTGGTCGTGCTGGGGCGTGGTCGTGCTGGGGTGGGGTCGTGCTGGGGTGGGGTCGTGCTGGGGTGTGGTCGTGCTGGGGTGGTCCGCACCCTGTGATTTATCGATCGGGTCGTGCTGGGGTGTGGTCGTGTGGTGCTGGGGTGTGGTCGTGCTGGGGTGTGGTCGTGCTGGGGCGTGGTCGTGCTGGGGTGTGGTCGTGCTGGGGTGGTGTGTCGTGCTGGGGTGTGGTCGTGCTGGGGTGTGGTCGTGCTGGGGCGTGGTCGTGCTGGGGCGTGGTCGTGCTGGGGTGTGGTCGGGCTGCGGTGTGGTCGTGCTGAGGTGGCCCGCACCCTGTGATTTATCGATCGGGATTTTAAAAACAAGCGTTTCGCCTGAGACATCCTCAAATTTTAATCCGCCGGCCTCCTTCGACCTCAATATTTATCCGGGAAAGAATCCGCTGGCCTCCTTCAAGTTGGGCACGGGGGGATATGTTTACATACTAAAAGAGAACCCTGGGCCTATGCCCTTTCCGGGAAAAAACTGCCCCGGGGCCCTCATGACACTGCTGATGATGATGATGATGATTATGATGATGATGATGACGATGATGATGATGATGATGATGATGATGATGATGATGATGATGCTGGTGATGGTTGTGATGATGATGGTGATGATGTTGAAGCTGATTGTGATCAGAATGCTGCTGGTAAATGATGATGAGGAGGATGATGCTGCTGATGATTGTGGTGGTGAAGATATATGTTGCTGATGGCGATCAATATGGTGACGATGCTGATGATGATATTGTTATTGAGGATGATGGTGATTATGATGATGATGTTAGTGATGGTGATTATGCTGACAATCACCATGACGATGATGATGATGATTGATGACGGTGTTGGTGGTGATTATGCTGGTGATGATGATGATGATGCTGATGATGATGATGAAGCTGATGCTGATGATGATAATGTGAGGGGGGAGGATGTAGGAAGGAGGACACATGGGGCGCCAGTCTCGTCAAACCGAACCCCCAACACCACAGGATGGTTGGAAATAATTGTTTCCGCTATCGGGAACACGTGGCCCACGGCGGACTGGGAAATGTGTACGCGTAACACTGTCACGTGGGACTATCAACTTTCCCGCCGCCCTGGGACGAGCGTTGCCGATCTCGGACGACCTACGTTATCAGAGTGAGGGGGCCGAACGATCATTCACTGTCCCTGGGTGCGTGGTTGAAATGGGATTCCGCGGTGCGGATTCGTGTTGTTGTTGTTGTTGATGTTGTTGTTGTTGTTGTTGCTGGTTGTTGTTGTTGCTGCTGATGGTGTTGTTATTGTTGTTGTTGTTGGTGGTGCTGTTGTTGTTGTTGTTGTTGTTGTTAATGTTGTTGTTGTTGTTGGTGGTGGTGGTGTTGTTGTCGGTGTTGCTGTTGTTGGTGGTGGTGTTGTTGTTGTGGTTGTTGTGGTTGTTGTGATTGTTGTTGCTGTTGTTGTTGTTGTTGTTGGTGTTGGTGTTGTTGTTGTTGGTGTTGTTGTTGGTGTTGTTGTTGTTGGTGGTGTTGCTGTTGTTGATGTTGCTGTTGTTGTTGTTGTTTTTTGTTGTTGGTTGTGTTGTTGTTGTCGTTGTTGGTGGCGTTGGTGTTGTTGTTGTTTTTGTTGTTGATGTGGTTGCTGTTGTTGGTGGTGTTGTTGTTGCTGTTGTTGTTGCTGCTGTTGTTGTTGTAATTGATGATGTTGTTGTTGTTGGTGGTGTTGTTGTTGTTGTTGTTGTCGGTGTTGTTGTTGGTGGTGGTGGTGCTGTTGTTGTGGTTGGTGTGGTTGTTGTGATTGCTGTTGCTGTTGTTGTTGTTGGTGTTGGTGTTGTTGTTGTTGTTGGTGTTGTTGTTGGTGTTGTTGTTGTTGGTGGTGTTGCTGTTGTTGATGTTGCTGGTGTTGTTGTTGTTTTTTGTTGTTGGTTGTGTTGTTGTTGTCGTTGTTGGTGGTGTTGGTGTTGTTGTTGTTTTTGTTGTTGATGTGGTTGCTGTTGTTGTTGTTGTTGGTGTTGCTGTTGTTGTTGAACATTATTAATTCTAAAGAATAATTATTGTTGGGACCCCTGGTGCACGGCCCCCCTGCGCCGCCTAGGCCGCAGCTACATTTTCATCATTTTCGTGAGGAAGCCTCAGGTAATTCGATGTGATCAAGATCCGGTTGTTTTGTTCCCCCCCGCTTTCCCTTGCAAAAACCACTATAAAATGACATTTCTTGTTCTAATATAATCAAATTTCAAGAATCCTTTGCAAAAAATAAGGTAAAGTGGACATTCGCGCGCGCAAGACGAAATCCTTCCAAAAGCTTAGTGATCGGAGCGATTTCAACATAAAAACATCAAAAAACATGATGGACCCACGAACCCGGAAAGGGATATAGACATGTGCAGCATGGTCACGTTTTCACGATATCCAACTGGGCGACACCTCACGAAACATCCCACGAGACACCCCGCGAAACATCCCAGGAGACACCTCACGAAACAACCCACGAGACACCTCACGAAACATTCCACGAGACACCCCGTGAAACATTCCACGAGACACCCCACGAACAGGCAACCACTCAACCAGACACCCCACGAAACATTCCACGGGGGTGCGACTGGGTGTGGTCGTGCTGGGGTGTGGTCGTGCTGGAGTATGGTCGTGTTGGGGTGTGGTCGTGCTGGGGTGTGGTCGTGCTGGGGGGTGGTCGTGCTGGGGGGTGGTCGTGCTAGGGGGGTGGTCGTGCTGAGGGGTGGTCGTGCTGGGGCGTGGTCGTGCTGGGGCGTGGTCGTGCTGGGGCGTGGTCGTGCTGGAATGTGGTCGTGCTGTGGTGAGGTCGTGCTGGGGTGTGGTCGTGCTGGGGTGTGGTCGTTGCTGGGGTGGGTCGTGTTGGGGTGTGGTCGTGCTGGGGTGTGGTCGTGCTGGGGGGTGGTCGTGCTGGGGGGTGGTGTGGGTCGTGCTGGGGCGTGGGGGCGTCGTGCTGGGGTGTGGTCGTGCTGCTGGGTGTGGTCGTGCTGGGGTGTGGTCGTGCTGGGTGTGGTCTTGCTGGGGTGGGGTCGTGCTGGGGTGTGGTCGTGCTGGGGTGTGGTCGTGCTGGGGTGTGGTCGTGCTGGGGTGGGGTCGTGCTGGGGTGTGGTCGTGCTGGGGTGTGGTCGTGCTGGGGTGTGGTCGTGCTAGGTGGGGTCGTGCATTTCGCTCGAGACATCCTGCCAAAATTCCAGGAAATCGCACAAAAACAAACGAATTAGTCGAGACATCCTCGGAATTCCTGCGCGAGGAGCGCTTTTCCGTGTCGCGGTCGGCTCTGCAAAACCAGCGTTTCGCTCGAGACATCCTCAACAAATTCTGAAACCAAGCGTTTCGCTCGAGACATCCCCAACTCTGCAAAACCAGCGTTTCGCTCGAGACATCCTCAACAAATTCTGAAAAACAAGCGTTTCGCTCGAGACATCCTCAAAATTTTAATCTGCCGGCCTCCTTCGGCCTCGATATTTATCAGGGAAAAAATCCGCCGGCCTCCTTCAAGTTGGCACCGGGGGACAGGTTTACCCACTAAAAGAGAACCCTGGGCCCGAGCCCTTTCCGGGAACTAATGGTTTTTCAACAAAAAAATGTCAAAATCTCATCCCGCGCGCTCTTGCGGATTCGTAGGAAACCCAACACTTTTTAAACATTTCTGTCAAACGGGCTTTTGCGAGCAACTTTTCGAACTTCTGCGACAACGGTTGCGCACCTGCCAGGGCCATCATCCCTGTCAAATAATACCATGCGGGACACATTCGTTTTTTCTTCGCGCGCGCACGCCGAAATCTCCAAAAACCATTGGGTTCTTAAGAATTTTAGCACCGCGCATCATAAAATCACACGAATCGCACCGTAGGTCCTCGAAAAACACCTGCACGACTTTTCAAAATTTCCACCCGCGCGCGCTGTCCGAATCCTAAAAAAACCAATGGTTTTCCAACATTTATGTTACATGAGCTCGCGCGAGCTACTTTCGCACGCTCTTGCAACGGGGTTCGCGCGCCTGCCAGGGGCCATAATCCCTTGCGGTTGCGCCATAGGTTGCGCCCTCGGCCGCCGATTATCGCCCTCGGACGCCAGTGTAGTAGCCACGGTCGTCCGCAGGCCACGAAGTGAAGTGTCCGAACGTCATAGGGCGGGAAGCTGGGTGTGGGTGGTGGCGAAGAGTCGTGTGGATATTTGGTAGAGCTTGCACTGCCCCCCCACAAAGTGGGGGTATTGGCTGGCGTCGCATGAAAACCCTGGCACTGGTGAGAACACTGAGCGTTCGGGTAAAGTGATTGTTGCTGTTGTTGTTGTTGTTGATGATGTTGTTGTTGTTGTTGGTGGTGTTGTTGTTGTTGTTGCTGCTGTTGTTGTTGTTGCTGTTGTTGTTGCTGTTGTTGATGATGTTGTTGTTGTTGGTGTTGTTGTTGTTGTGGTTGTTGGTGTTGTTGTTGTTGTTGAACATTATTAATTCTAAAGAATAATTATTGTTGGGCCCCCTGGTGCGCGCCCCCCCCGCCGCGCCTAGGCCGCAGCCACGTTTTCATCATTTTCGTGAGGAAGCCTCAGGTAATTCGAGGTGATCAAGATCCGGTTGTTTTGTTGTAATCCGTTTTCCCTTGCAAAAAACACTATAAAATGACATTTCTTGTTCTAATATAATCAAATTTCAAGAATCCCTTGCAAAAAATAAGGTAAAGTGGACATTCGCGCGCGCAAGACGAAATCCTTCCAAAAGCTTAGTGTTCGGAGCGATTTCAACATAAAAACATCAAAAAACCAATGGTTTTCAACAAAAAAATGTCAAAATCTCATCCCGCGCGCTCTTGCGGATTCGTAGGAAACCCAACACTTTTTAAACATTTCTGTCAAACGGGCTTTTGCGAGCAACTTTTTCGAACTTCTGCGACAACGGTTGCGCACCTGCCAGGGCCATCATCCCTGTCAAATAATACCATGCGGGACACATTCGTCTCTCTGTATTATGTATTGTATGGCACAATTGCACCATGCTGGGCACATGCGCGCCCCGAATAAGTGACCAAGTTCTGTGGGTGTGTACCCCACGCCAGTGTAGTAGCCACGGTCGTCCGCACGCCACGAAGTGAAGTGTCCCAACGTCATAGGGCGGGAAGCTGGGTTTGGGTGGTCGCGAAGAGTCGTTTGGATATTTGGTAGAGCTTGTAATGCCCCCCCACGAAGTGGGGGTATTGCCTGGTGTCGTATGAAAACCCTGGCACTGGGGAGAACACCACGCGTTCGGGTAAAATGATTGTTGATGTTGTTGTTGTTGTTGTTGTTGTTGTTGTTGTTGTTGTTGTTGTTGTTGTTGTTGTTGTTGTTGTTGTTGTTGTTGTTTGTTGTCGTCGTCCCACTTGCAGCCCGCCCCGCGACCCACCCCGCGACCCACCCCGCGACCCACCCCGCGACCCACCCGCGACCCACCCGCGACCCACTCGCGACCCACCCCGCGAAACACCCCACGACCCACCCCGCGACTCACCCCGCGACCCACCCCGCGACCCACCCCGCGACCCACCCACGACCCACCCGCGACCCACCCGCGACCCACCCGCGACCCAACCGCGACCCACCCCGCGACCCACCCGCGGCCCACCTTCGACCCAAACCGCGTTCAAGGTGCAAACCACCATGTTCGGCGCCTGCGGCGGGCATGTTTGGCCTTCCTTCCAAGTGGAAAGCCCGCGACCCACCCCGCGATCAACTCGCGACCAACCCGCGACCCAAACCACGTTCAGGGTACAAACCACATGTTTCGGCGCCTGCGGCGGGCACCCTTTGCATTCGTTTCAGGTGGAGAGCCCGCGGCCCACCCGCGACCACGTTCAGGGTACACACCAATTTTTTCGACGCCTGCGGCGGACATCTTTTGCATTCGTTCCCGGTGGAGAACCCGCGGCCCACCCGCGACCCGAACCACGTTCAGT